CATTAAAAAAAATCCTATTCTCAAAAAACAAATAAAACAACCACATGTAGTTTATAAAGAGTTCATCAAACTTACAAAGACTTGATCTGTCTTAACTATTGCTATTTCTTAAAAAAAAGGGGGGGGTTGATAGGGGGGACCTATAATCTAATAGATAGAGCACCTGAGTTAATCTGAAAAGTAATCATATTATCTTAAATCTTAGAACACATATACTTATGTGAATAGGGGGTTAAGTTTTTCTTAAGTTTCCTTTCAAGGTCTGTGCAAAGTGATTAGGGAGGTGACTCAGCTGTGAATCCAGGAAGCAGAACTGATCATCAGAGTGACCCACCAGGAGTCAAAACATCATCTCATCTCATCAACATCATCTCATCACCTCATCGCCTAAGGACTAAAGACAATAGCTGACGTCTGCGGACCTCCAGGGCTGGCCTCACCCTAGCCCCTTCCCCTTAATAATCCTGTCCCCTGCACCTTGCTGTAAGACAGGATTTGAATGCGTGTAAGCGCCCTGTCTTCTTGGTTGGCTGGCCTTCTCAATAAACGCCTAATATGATTCAACCCTGCCTTCGTTATTGGACACAGCGACAGGCAGCCAAAGCTCAACAGGGGGTTTTCCGGTAACAGTTCCAATAGTGAAGACGATTCAAACAAAGACGAGTTTTATAGTTTTAAAAATAAAGGCCAAAACTGTCACTAAAATACATAATATTGAGGCTTTAAAAATCTAGAAAGGGGTATTATTGTTCAAGAATTATACAGTTTCATCAAGTCCAAGTGCTCCAAAGTGTCATAAGATGCTATTCATTAAGACTGCACAAGCAGCTCTTCTAATCCCAATAATACTCAAACTTAGAAGAAAAACTTCTGACAAATTTTGGGAACTCTCAGCATCCTAATTAGAAGCATAATGCTGAAAAGACATGGTGAGCAATGACATCCAACCTTATGGAAAGTTAAAAAAACAACGTGTAAGCTTGTGTGGGAAGATTCTATGAAGTCCCTAATATACTAATCTTGTTATTGCATATCATTTCATTCATACCTGCACAGATGGGTGTGCATAGAAGGATATGATAAAAGGATAAAAATAAAGAGACCCCACATGGGGAATCATCTCAATAAGATACAGTATTCAGGCAATAGCCCTGGCTATTTTAATTAGGTTTCTTCTTCAGTCACTGGGTTTGTTCTTTAGTCAAATCTGCCAACAGATACAGGCAATGGTGAAGTAAAAGTGAAAAAAAAATAGGTTGCCCTCTGTTACAATTCAGCTACATTATTCAGACCCAGCCACTATATAGCTTGATTACACGGATGATATAGAAGTTAAAGGAAACACTGACACAATTTCGTAACTGATTAACAGGCACTTTTAAGGAAAAAGAATTTGGCATGATGTTTTTAAAACCTAAATTCTTCATTTCGGATTCCTTCAATAATCTATCTATTGAAGAAAAGGCAACATAGTACCCTTGAAGAGCATAGAATTGTTAGTGGTACGTGTAGGTTCCAAAGATAGGCATTGGCGAGATGGGGGGGAGGAGGGGGAGAGAAAGAGAGAAGAATAAATACAAATAATCTATACTAATAAAAGGGTAATATGCTAATTAGGGCAGGCGTCTTCTGGACGTCCTTCTGGACAAAGTTGCAGTGGCTGCAAGGGCTGAGGCGTGGCTGCGAAGGGCCCAGGCTCAGGCCAGCAGTGTCAGCAGCAGTGGGGTAATGGGGGTGGCGCCTTCCCCTGATCTGCCACGTTGCCTCCTGCAGAGGCGGTTAGGGGTGATCAGGCCAGCAGGGGAGCAAGTTAGAGGTGGTCAGGCCAGCAGGGGAGCAAGTTAGGGGCGATCAGGCAGGCAGGCAGAGGGATTAGGGGCAATTAGGCAGGCAGGCAGGCCAGTGGTTAGGAGCCAGTAGTCCCGGATTGCGAGAGGGTGCAGGTTGGGCTGAGGGACTCTCCCCCCCATGCATGAATTTCATGTACCGGGCCTCTAGTAATAAAATAATAGCTATCATTTGAATTGCCCTCACAATGTTCCAGGCACTGCTCTGAGAATTTGACATCCACTTACTCCTCACAAATTACACGGAGGGAGGATCAATGATTGTATTCATTTTACAGGTCAGTCAGTCACAGAAAAGATCAGTAACCTGCAGAAGGTCACACAGGTGGCAGGTGGTGCAGCTGAATTCTGAGCCAGGCCATGGGGCTGCATTGCCATCATCTGCCATATCACCTGCATGCTCTTATTTCACCTGTGCTACAACATTGCACAGTAGGTAACATCATCTCCAATTTATAGATGAAGACCAAGTCCTAGAGCATCAGGAATTTATTAAATGGCAGTGGAGCTGAAATTCCAAGTGAGAAGTTTCAGACTCCAAAGCCCTAGAGAAGAGGAGCACCAAGATGACCTTTCTCAACGGGACTGAGGAGGGATGTGGCCCTTAAGATCCTCCAACCAAGACAAATAATGCAGCGTACCTGCAGGGAGGAGAGGGCCTGTTCCAGTCATTATGGGGATCCCACAATGACACAGTGCATGACATGTGAGGCTCTCTCTACCGCAGGGGTGGGGAACGTTCGGCCCTCGGGCCACATAAGGCTGGTGAAACATTTGGTCTGGCCCTGCCAAGGCATTAGAGGAGAGTTAATTAAATGCTTGACCAAATAGAGCAAACTAATTTTTAAGTTGATCATTTTGTATGGCCCTCAAATGATGCTATAAATATCCAAATGGCTCTTGGCAGAGAAAAGGTTCCCCACCCCTGTTCTAGTCCTTTGCCAGTCATCACACTCGATGATTCATGTTTAACATCACTTTCCCAGTAGACTGTAAGCTCTGCTCATTTAGTGTGAGCATGCTATGTACCAGACAAGGACCCTTCTAGGTGCTTGGAATATGCCAGTGAATAAAAGGAAGAGCCTTACCTTTTGCTTATTTAACTGTGCACCCCTAACACCTAGCAGAATGTCTGGCACCCATTGGTTCTCAATAAATATTCACTGAATGAATAAATGAATAAATTAGGAGGGGCAGGTAGAAGCAACCGGAAAGAAAAACTACAGAGAAAAGGAAATATCTTTGTCTGATCTATTAACTCAAGATTTTTACTAACATCTTAATATGCTTGTGATGAATGAAGACAACCATTTTTATGTTATTTAACTCATTTTTAAAAGTAGAAATGCTACCATATTTAATTCCAAAAGTGAACTCTGACCCAGGTTCTGAAGGAGGACATGTGGTTCAGGAGGCAGCCTTTTGTCAAACTGATTTTCAAATTACATTCTCCGGAGCTTAGCCTGTGTTTAATACTCACTGCTTTTCAAAAGGCGACTTCCCAAGGCAGGCATTCTCCCAGTAAATAGAAGCGTTTATCTTCAAGCTCATTTGGTTTTAGCAATGAGGTTACAGTACAGGCTGTCATCCACATTGGTACTGACGCCCTCAATTAGAGGCAATGGCATTTCACCTCCATGCAAAATATTAGTAAATTAACAATCCCCACTCTGCATTCACTGGGGAAATCTGCTCTGCTCGCGATGCCGAACGTGACAAGCGGGGAGTCATCAGAAACGCTGCAGGAATACCTTCGAGCCTTGCAAACATCAGTTAAAACTCTGGCTCCGCACCTTGCCTTTGGGGTTTGGTCTGTAGGGCCAATTTCTTTTTTGCACGCAGAACTCAGCATCGGTAATTTGCAAGAGAAACAAGCAGTAACCCCGGCAACAAATAGTTACAGAAGCATCCACCCTGGTTTTCTGAAATCTTTCCTGTAAATGTCTCTTTGAGACCATACCATGAACTCTGGCACTGTAAACAATTTTCAGATCGGATTTACAACTCTCTGACATAACTTCCACTTAAAGAGCAAATCCTAATAAATATTTCTTTACAGCTAAGAAGACTGCAAAGAGATTCTTATTCAAATGTCGTGGCTGTCTCTTTCAGATTTAAGGGCACTTTAGGCTAATGAAGAGATATTTGAACCCAGTAATTGTTGGGTCATAGGAGCTCTGTGGATGGGCATCAGTAGATGTATTTAAAATTTGTGAGAAACATTGTACATGTATTGTATTGGAATGGGCACGGTCACTTTAATCAGATTCTCTATGGGGCTGCAACCCCATCAGACAAGGAGGGACCTAAGGGCTAAGGGGAGGGTTTGTTGAGGTTGGCCACCAGCCAGCTGCCATGGAGTTGCCCCAATTTTAGTGTCTTCTTCCATAAAATTCCTTTTTCAGATCCTATGATCCTCGTCTCCTCTATGTTTTAATACTTGAATCCATGATGTTATGGGGATCATAAATTGAACTGAATCTTCACCTTTAACATCCTATATTCTAGTAATTATATTAACTAATGATTCAGTCTCATCCTTCATTGGCATTCTGAGTATCATTAGCCATAAAACAAACTAAACATTTATGAAAATATTAATATTTGCATTGTATCAATGGAGCAGAAAGATCAACACCTTCTGTTTTGAGACAGAAGCACTTCCTCATGACAAGTCAAACCCTTAGGAAATGTTTTTATGTCCTCAGAATCTCATTTCTTTATGTGGGACATTACGATAAAGCCTAAATCACAATTTAAGTCTAATATGTAGAATACTAAGTCCACTATGTGTTTTTAAGTCTATCAATTTTGTTAGGTTTCCAAAGACAGAAGAGCTGAGAAGCTGAGCGAGTATTGCTTAAAATAATTCAAATTATTATTTCAAAATCCTTTTTGATTTGGGGGCTATGAAATTCTAGCCATGGTTAAAAGTTATCATCTTTTATAAAATCAATTAAACAAAAGTGTGCGTATTTTTATCATTATGGCTTAATAAAGGCAAATCAGGACAAAATTATCCATTTTTAAAATTAAATCTGAATCCCCCCAAAAGCCACTTTTCAAATGTAGATTTCTACATGAGAATAGGGGCTAATGAGAAATACGAAAGATCGTTCTTGTCCAGGACATGTAGAACCATGGCTCACTTACCGTCATGATAAGCCCCTTCTCCTGGAAGTATTTAACCAGCGGAGCAGCGTTCTGCTTGAAGTTCATTAGTCTCCTTTGCGTAGCTTTCAGATTGTCATCAGGCCGGCCCTGTTGCTCTGCTCGCTTCAGCAACCTTTCTTTGAGCCTCTGATTGGTGCAAGCCAGGAATACCACCAAGTCGGGAGTGCAGATCTGTGGAGAGCATTAAACAAGTTGACAGGCATTCAACATACCAACCAATGCAAGTGCAGAGAATGGCCTCCATCTCTTGGTTCTCTTGCAGCTGTCATATTTCTGGCCCTCTGTGTTTTTTGCCAGTGCATTTCCAGGGCTATCACTCTACACAAGATCAGGAGGAGCCATTGCTGCTACAGTCCATGTAAATGGGCATGTCCACACAGCCATATGCAGTGACCCTACTTATTTCAGGAAAATACTTTTATTTATGCTCAAATATGTATCCTGGTCGAATTAAGAACAATATAGGCCAAACTTTGCCAAAGATATGTGACCTGGTTTTAGAGACTACGGGGGCCACAGATGTGGACAGTTAAAAAGTATCGCTGCTATTATTACCATTTGCTGCCCTTTTAACAGTATCTACCGTATGCCAGGCCCAGTGCTGTTATTTCCCTTGATGTTGCTACACTTTACAACAATCTGCAGGATAAATATTACCTCCATTTTACTGATGCGTAAACTGAGGCTCTAAGAAATTCAGCACTTGTCTGAGGTCACATGGTCAGTAAGGTCCAAGTTGATATTTGAACCTACATCTCTCTAGTCTAAACCCTGTGTTCCTTCCACTATTACAATGCACCAAGTGGCTCAAAGACCTTTGTGAATTTCTGAAAATACTGAGAATGACATGGAAAGAACCTATGAAATAAACAGTTTTTATTCAACTCAATTGGAACTAATATTGCATTTAAAGGGTAACATCATGGTCATTAAAGTGAACACAGTTTCTTGATGAAGAAGGGACAAGCCAAAAAAGGCAGTTGTGTATAGCGATTTAAACAATGATCTCCAAAACTTTTTATGGCATCCTTACATTAGTAAACTATTTGATCATACATCCCAATAAACATGTACTTACTAATTTATAAAGTATGCATGCATGTATGATATGCATATATTACCATACTAATATAGGACGCGTGTTGAATAGTATAGTTGTCACTATGTGTACGTGGCGGATTGATTTCAGGATGCCCCCTTGGAGGCCAAAATCAGAGGATGCTCAAATCCCTTATGTAAAATGGCATATTATTGCACATAGTCTACCCACATCCTCCTGTATATACTTTATAATCTTCTCTAGATTACTTAGAACAGCGGTTCTCAACCTGTGGGTCGCGACCCCTTTGGGGGTCAAATGACCCTTACACAGGGGTCGCCTAAGACCATCGGAAAACACATATATAATTACATATTGTTTTTGTGATTAATCACTATGCTTTAATGATGTTCAATTTGTAACAATGAAAATACATCCTGCATGTCAGATATTTACATTATGATTCATAACAGTAGCAAAATTACAGTTATGAAGTAGCCACGAAAATAATTTTATGGTTGGGGGTCACCACAACATGAGGAACTGTATTAAAGGGTCGCGGCATTAGGAAGGTTGAGAAACACTGACTTAGAATACCTAATACAATGTAAATACTATGTAAATAGTTGTTACACTGTATTGTTTAGGAAATAATTACAAGAAAAACAGTCTACTACCATGGCAACAATAGACCTACTACATAGTGCATGTCAGCAACCATGTAACATTTTTTTCAAATAGATTTATTTTATTTTTTCATCACCATTTATCCCCTCTCTGTCTTCTTCCACCTCCATACTACCCACTCCCAGCAATCACTACACTGTTGTCATGTCCATGAGTTCTCTGTATTTTTTCTTCTGTTTTGCTCAACCCCTCTACTCCCCTCATCTCCTCCCCCCCCCCCCCCCGCCAGCTGTCTGCCTGCTCTCTATCTGAGTCTATCTCTATTTTGCTTGGTTGTTCAGTTTGTTCATTAAATTCCATTCAAATATTTTTGATCTGTGGTGAGTTGGATTTGCAGGTGCAGAACCTGCAGATATAGAGGGCTGATTGTATACACAAAAATACAATTTAAAAAGGATGAGTTACAATAATCATAATTGTTATATTTTCTTCCACAGTGGCTTGCTTTGTGCACTATGGATACCACTGGTTAGGAAATAGACTCTGGAGGCTGGAACATGGATTCTACTTTTTGCCTAGCTGAGTGATGGGTATATAACTTAACTTTGCTAAGCCTCTGAGTCCTCTATCAATAGAGATACACAAACCTCCTCTCTAAGGATTAAATAAGATATTGTATGTAAAATACAGAGCACAAACTTGATCCAGGTGCTCAATAAATTTTAGCCATGTTTACTATCGGTTTTCATAATTCTATGTTGTCCTGGTTCGCCTTTAACATTTTGGTTTTTATTTTATTTATTTTTTCTTCTCTCACATTTTTTCCTTCTCAGACCCACAAGTGGGGCATTCCCTGCAGCTTAGATGATTTTTCCCCTTTTCAGAGTCTAATTTTCTTTGTATTCTCTCAGTGTCCTTCCACTCTTCTGGTTTCAACCACTACCCTATTGATGGATTTTAAATCTACTTTTTGTCAATGACTTTCAATAGTCCTATATTGTCCAATAGGCTATATGATGGCTCTACCTGTGAGTCTTAATGTTATCTGTGACTCAGCAAGGCCAACATCAATTTCAGCACACTTTTACCTAAATGAAATTCCCATCTTGTTTGTTTGCATATTTATTTATTTTTATGGTAGCAACACTACTTTCCTAAATCTCTCAGCTAGAAGCCTTAGTACATTTCTAACCCTTACTTGTCAAAACGCCAATCTCTCTGACGTATCGCCATTGCCTGTGGATTCTGCCTTTGAAATGCCTTCGGTCTCTTCTTCCCCCAATTCCTCCTGCCACCGGCTAAGCTCAGGCACACACCAGGATAAGTGATTATAAGCATGAACTTGAGAATCAGATGGTCGTGAATTTGAATCTAGAGTCTGCCACCCATTAGTTGTTTGTCCTTGGGCAAATGATTCAATTTCTCAGAACTTCAGTTTTCTCAACTGTAAATAAAGTAAGGGGAAACCCCTCATCCTATCTCAGTAGCTTAATATTTCCCAGTTTTTTAAAAAACATCTAAATAGCTTTTGAGAAATCTTAACAATTTAGACAATTGCTTTGTAATTTTTGTGTGATATAATAAAACCTTTGGAAATAGTCAGCCTTACCCAATATAAAATAATGATACCCTTTAAAATTTTCTTTAAATAAATATATAAGAAAGACCATTTTTGACAAATTAAAATGACATTATATTGTGCTTGGTGTGGTCATAATGTCTATTAAGATATGGGAAAAACCTGAACTACCAGGTTGGTATTGAATACAAATAAAACCTTGCATTTTGAAATTCCTGCAGTTTGCATTTAAACAAATTAAATGGTTCACCTTAATATATTTATTGTTTTGTTTCAGATTGCAATGTAAATGCTTCTCTCTACCTAATGCAGTGAGGTCACGGATAGGCTTGCATATGTAATCCTCACTATATTTTGCCTTTCACTATTGGCTTTTGAAGTACTAGGGACAGCTTGAAATTTAAGATTTTGTTTACACTCTGAATAAAACTGCATTTTTGTTTGTTTTTATATTAGTAGACTTTTTTAAAAAAGCAGTTTTAGGTTTACCAAAAACTTCAGTGGAATAGCTAAGATTTTTGATCAATAAATGCAACTTCAGGTCTGATAACGATGACCTTGAAGTGAATCTGCAAAGTTATTTAATTTAATAATTGTGATTAACTTTCTGTCTTTCTTTAGTGTACATTAAACAATATATAGCTTCGAATATAAAAATTAAGATGCGGAACCCTGACAAGTAGGGATAACCAGCTGATTGCTCAACGGAGTGAATGTAGCCACAAGCACACGCATCTGTGCATCTGTTTCCTAATGACCACCATGTATGTCCACTCACTGGAGGCTCACATTTTTGACAGTGCATTATTTTAAAGGAAAAAGTATTTAAATTGTTTGCTTTCCCCCCAAAATGTAAAATAGCAGCAGGTACCATTCTGTTCCGAAAGATGTGAAGCCCCTGTAAAGTTTTTATGAAATTCACTTGCATGAAATGTTGAGAAGTTTCAACAGAGTGACTCCTTCTTAGCCTATGTTCTCAAAATATATCTGTTGATTGAATGATTGAAAGAATAAGTAAATGAGTAAGGAAAAAAAAAACACCCCAAGATACTGCTTTTGTCTACAAGGAAGTAAACTTCCCAATTACTGATATTGTTCCTCCCACTGAATCAACTAAATCAATTTTTTTCCTGTCATTATATAGTCAAGTCAATCTTCCTCTATCCATTTTCTTAAAGTCCCTACCTGAGTGATTACTCTGTTAAAAAGAACCTGTGATTGCCTTTGATAGTCGAAGGCAATATTCATTGTGTCAGACTACCAACTGAACTGATTTTAATACTCCCATTCTTAACTGTCAGTACTTTTGACTGCCCTATTCTTTATGAAGACGTGTTACAAAGCTTAGACTCCATAATTCAGACCACACTGTCAGAAGCCAGGAAGCAAAGTACTAAAAGGAGAGAGAGAGAGAGAGAGAGAGAGAGAGAGAGAGAGAGAGAGAGAGAGATCACAGTTGGAACAAAATCTGGAATCACAGAAACTAAGAGATGGAAAAAACTTGGAGGTTATCTAACCCAAATGAATGCCAAACCTGTCATCTTCTCCACAATCCCTTGACAAGTGATTTTTAAGTTTGAACATTTAAACCTGAATGTTCTTTGTGAGCATTTCTTGTGATGGGTACTTGCTTCTTATAAGGCAGCCCCTTTCTGGATGACTGTAATAATTAGGAATTTCTTTCTAATATTGGGCTAAAATTTGCTTGCTTATTCTGCCTAAAGGTAAAATGTGAAATTATTTCTTTCACCCATCAAACATTTATCGAACATACTAGTATATCATTACCACAGAGGACAGAATAGATCATAAAAAGAAAAAAAGAGGTAGAAAACTGAACTTCATTATCATTTAACATGGAGATAATTGACAGGCAGAGTTCTCAACAGACTATGGGGTTGGGGGACAAAAATTGGAATATGAGGC